TCACTAACTTACCCATTCATTTTTTAAATTATGACTTTATCCATCATTGAAATCATAAAATATAGAAAACAGACAAATAAATTTTTACAGTGTCAAATATTAGTATAGATTGTTCATTATTCACAAAAAATGTCATTGGCTAAGCTATACAGATACATGTTAAAGTTTTGTACCCAACACTAACCATTTATTAGCCAATCCTATCACCAAGCTTTATCAATAAATGACTGTCAGTAAAATAATTCATGAAATTGATTTATACTATAATTATACTAAATTTTTAAAGCAATGACTGATGATTTTCTTTTTATTATTTTCTTTATATATATTGTAATTAAACATATTTACTAATCCCAAATAAAGCTTTTTGTTCCTGGTTTTAGCATGATGTAGTCACGCAGCTATCTAATTAATTAACATAAAACAGACTACATATAAAATGATCGGCAAAAATTCTCACGTACAGTACGTACAGTACATACATATAATACGTACAGTACTGTACGCGGCACTTCACTAGCTACCCCAGTGAGACCATGAAAGATCGACAATATGCACCAATCAGATGATCTGCACTAATTAAACAATCAAATTTTTAAAGTAATAAAAACCTACGTTAGGGTTGGGGTTGTGACTTATCTTATACTAAAATTTTATGGAGAATTTTTTTTGTTAGTGCGCAGTAGGTAGCTTCATAGAGAGGTGATTGTTAGAAAAGATCTGATTGGTGCATCTGCAACGATCTTTCACGGTCTTACTGGGGTAGCTGATTGGAATACACCAATCTGGTGACGAAGTAACTTCGTGATATTCATCACTCCGTTCCTGGTACACGTCGTTGCACTCCATTCTTGGTACGATAACTTATATTTAATTTTAATGTAATAAAATTCTTTCTTGACTTTCAAGGATAGATTTAGCATCTTGTGCCTATTATGGTTGCACAAAATGACACTATTTTGAAACCAATTTTGGGTACATCCAGGCATATCAAAAAAGTAAGCGCAAGAGTCTCAAAAACACAAGTTTTGCTGTGCAATCACGTGATATTGTTTAAAATCTACGGACAGTGCTTAGGAAAAGTCTCTGGACACCTACCAGTTCACGTGATTTTACTTTAGATAGCAGGAACATGTAAATATTTTTTCGATTTAAAGCAAAAATTTTGATCAATTTAGGCAAAAATCTTGATTTATTTCAATTTTGGCTAGAATTAAGCTTCAAGTCAGTGGCTCTGGCTGAAATTAGGAAGATCACATGTTTAGTTCGAATTTAGTTCGAATTCTGGGATGTTAATCACATAATATTTGTCTTAAGCCAATAATATCATTCTTATGTGATTTATTTTTATATGTAACTTGGTGAAAAAATTTTTGAAAATTTCGATTTTGGCAAAAAATTTTTCAAAAGATTTATGTGTCTTTGTAGGGTAGGTACACTATCATGTGTCAGGTTTTAGAGCATGTACAAAAATCACCCGAATTGGTAGGTGTCATGTGAACTGGCAAGTGTCTGGAAACTTTTCCTAGTGCTTAGGGTAGGGTGCCTAGGATTATGCGATTCATAATATGCACATAAGTTGGCAAAATTTTTGAATAACTGTGTTACACTCGAACTACACCTCTTTATGGTAGTTCAAGAAATGTTGTGATTATAGTATGAAGACTATAATCTTGTAATTTTGGCTATAATAAAAGTGTCTATGTTTGAATTAACAAAGAGGTTTAGTTAGGCTATTATGAAAAAGGCAAACAACTAAATGTATATGAGGATACAGATAGTTGTAGTAATTGTATGATATAATGGGTAAGTATGCAGAAGTATATACTATAATTAAGTAAGCTCACAGACATCAACATCCTTGAAAGTATGTGAAGTAATATAAACTTTATTTACTAAAGAAGTATCAATCGTAAAGTTTCTTCATGATAACCACATGATCAAGATCATTATACTAATTAATGATATAAATTAATTTAACGTGTATGAAGACATGATAATTTATTATGATAGATAGGTAATAGATACAATGATAAATGAATTAATATATGAGAATGGAGTGAATTGAACACACCTTTTTATCAAGCCAAAAGGCTATGTCTTTTATATATGTTTTGTTGGCTATGATATACAACCTTTTTAACATTTTCAATATCTAATATTAGCTACGACTCTTACTACTCTAATGATTACAGCATGAAAGTTTATAAAGACATGGGATGAAGCAAAATAACACAACTTGTATGAGCTTACCCACATGGGATCATTTGGATTGTCATTCGATTCTTGAATATCTTTATGTTGAAATATAAATCAGGTGATCTGCAGTTAGGGATATCTACCAGGGTCAAGTGACAAAATCCTATGTAATAATTTCTTCCCTGCTTGATTATGAGCTCCTGTAAATAAATAAGTATAATAACAAATACCCACTTGAAATATTTCATGAACATTGTTCATGTCATTCAAACCCTCTCATAGTATTTTTTTAAGATAAAAGCATTTTGTAGTACTTCCAAAATCTGATTTTCTAATATGCGCAGTTTATATATGTCTTGCACAACACAAGCATGAACAATATATGGTCCTAGCCATTTTGGAAACAATTTTTCAGTATGTCTTCCAAGTTGAGCTGCATCATATAAGAGAACTTTATCACCTGTATTAAAGATATATACAATCTTCTTTAACCTTTTGTCCATCTGAATTTTTGCCATCATTGATATTTGTTAATATTTTCTTTGGCTATTGTTTGGTTAACTGGTAGATCATTTACTAATACATTTATTTGGTCTATTTTCTTTTCTTCTAATAGAACCAATAGCAGAAAATCTGGAAATTTAGCTTCATGCCCATAAGTAAGATAAAATGGGGTGAATTTGTTATCGATTGCTTGGACATTCAATATGCAAACAATATTGAGAGTATTAATGTATCCTATTCCTGATCTTGATTTATTAGTTTTGTCAAAGATTCACATAAGGTACAATTATATTGCTCTACTAGTCTATTTGTTTGTAGATTATACGATGTAGTTAACAAGTGCTTAATTTCAAAATTCTTCATTAAGAACTTCAGTACTTCATTATTAAAATGGTGTCATCTATTTGATATTATATGAGTAGAACAGTTATGTTAACAAATGATTTCTTGGAAAATAAAGTAGGCTGTTTGTTGAGCATTGATGGTGGGTACGGCTCAAGCTTTAGGCCATTTTGTCATATAATCAATGGCAACAATAATATATCGATTTGTCTTAAAGGTTTGTTCTAAAGATCTTACAATATCAATGCCGATTTTGTGAAAGGGTGCTTCTACAGGTATAGGTTGTAATGGGCCATGATTCCTATATTTTTTTCACTTCTGATATTAATCGCAAGTCTTAATATATTCACAAATATACTCATACATTTGGGGCTAGTAATATCTATCACGGATCTTTTCGAACATCTTTTCTACCCCTAAGTGAGCATTCAAGAAATGATCGTGCATAAGATATAACAATAGAGCAGTTCTTTCTGTTTTATTACTTTTAGCAACTGGGGCTTTTTGCTTTTACAACGATCTCTTTTATAGAGTAGTTGGTTGTAAACGACAAAGAATTTACTTTGTGATTTCAACGATTTCTTTTGACAAGAGTTAAACTGTGATGAATATCGGGCTGTTTCTAAGAAGATTTTTATATATCCATATTTGGTTGGGTCTATTTTAAAAAAAAACTAGTGTAATAAAAAAAAATAATAAAAAATAATAAAAAAAATAAGAAGAAGAAAAAGAAAGAAAAAAAAATAAAAAAAAATGTGTATTGGTAGGCATAGTTTGTTAACTATTTTACTGTAGGTTAGCTGATTATACAGTTACAGTGACCGATTTGCAAAGTTTAGCATCATTTGTGGATAGTCATAGATTCTTGACTAGCAAATAACAATAGGGTTGACAACCTTCTACCATACTAAGTTGCAAAGGTATATGTCTTTAAGGTTGTTATGTTTATCTACTTGTTGAAGGATCAGTGTATACAATGAATCCAGCCACCAGAGCCTATTTACTAAGTGATTTTCTGCATCATTTTGCTTGACTAAATCCTTGACTTTAACAAAAATTTTATTCTTTTTCTTAGATCCAGATTTTTTATTTGTATTGGATGACTACGCAATATTATATATTCTCAATAAGTTGTCTATCAAGTCATTATCTTCGTTTGGGGTGGGCCAATAACTATGGATAATTTTTTCTACCAGATATTTCTTTATTGTGATCTATAGTTTTAAATCACAATAACACTTAGCACAATTATCCTCTGGTGAGTATAGTCGATCTATACAACATTGTGCAAGTAGACCTTTCTAATCATATGACAAATGCTTTCCTTTTGTTTTCTGACCAAAACGGCTACTAATATATTTTATATAATACTAGGTACACTTCTGATTGTCATATTTAATCCAGTTTTCAGTGAATTCAATGTTTTGATATGGCCATATGTTTTTAATAATATGTGTAGGTGGGTCAGGCTGTAATACTCTAAATACTTCTTGATAAGCCTGATCATTTTAATTCTTATTCTGAGACTCTACTTCAACCTGATATACTGATACTTCCACTTCTTGATAATTATTAGTCAATCTTGACAATGCATTAGCATTACAATGCTTATAACCAGGCTGATGAATAACAGTAAAGTTGTATAGCTCCAACCTAAGAATTCATCTTGCTTGTTTACCTTTCAATTTTGAAGTTCTCAACTATTGCAATGATAAATGATCTGTAATCAGAAAAAATGGTTGAACCCAAATATTGATAAAAATACTCTACTGCCTAAATAACAGCAAGATATTTAATTCGGATATAGAATAATTTTGCTCCACCTTATTTAAACTTCGACTCGCATAGGCCACAACATATTCTTTATTACTGTCATCTAACTGTGCCAATACAGCACCTAATCCTAGAACTAGAGTGTCTGTATGAAGATAAAATAGCCTATTAAAATCAGGTATTGTAATACCAGGAATGTTATTAAATAAGTTTTTAAAATTTGAAATGCTTTTTCTTGAGTACTAGTATAATAATATGGCTCATCCTTTCGTAGAAGCAAATTCAATAGCTTGGCAGTTTTTGCAAATTCTTTAATAAATTTCCTATAATATGATGCAAGGTTAAGAAATGATCATATCTTCTTGACTGTTGTTGGAATAAGGAAGTCTTTAACCTTTTGAATTTTATCTACATCAGGTAGTATTCTGTTGCTACTGATTATATGTCCTAAAAATTTAATTTTATTCTGAAAAAATGAACATTTTTTTGCATTCAATTTTAGGTCTGCTTTTGCGATTTGATCAAATACTTGATGAAGGTGATTCATGTGATCTTCAAAAATATTGAAATATATAGTGATATCATTCAAGTATACCACACAAACTAATTAATAAATAGGTCAAAAATTTGGTTCATCAAATACTAAAAGGTCGATGGTACATTACACAACCCAAACAGCATTACATTAAAGCTGTAAGTACTGAATTTTGTAATAAAAGCAGTTTTAGGCTGATCTTCTCTTTTGATGGCTATTTGCCAATATCCGCTAGACATATCAAGGCTAGTAAACTACTTAGCTTCTTCAAACACAGTTAATATTTCATTAAAATTGGGCAGTAGATAAACATCCTTTTCTGTTACAGAGTTTAATTTATGGTAGTCAATACAAATTCATTTACTATGATTCTTTTTTGAGACAAGGACTAGAGTGATGTCTAGAGACTTTTAATCGGTCTAATAATCTTTTGCTTTTCTATAGCTAATATTTTTTCTTAGAAAAATTCTTGCTCATCATAAGACATATTATATAGATGTTACTTAATTAGTACAGCACTACCCGTATTGATCTTATAGTATGTTAGATTAGTATACCCAAGTCTAACTGTCTAACCTATCTTACTGATTTTTTCTGCAAAAATATACTTATTCTTTTGCAGCAGATTCTTTGCCTAGTGCTGCTGATCTATTGAGAGTTCCTTATTTATTTCAAATAGAATTTCTTCTTGTTCTTAATAATTTTTTAATGATTTGGTTAAATATACTGCTAGATTTTGATCTGTTCACAGATTATAATATAGCTCATCTTCTTCCGATATACATTCATTGGTGTAGAAAGCCTTATAAATCTCTTTACTATTATTTTCAAGTTTATTGATCTATTCTTCTTCATCAGTGAACTTATCAAATTCTTGTTCAATGACTCTATTACTTATATGGGTTGCATTTATAGTGGCTTGCTTATCTAGATATCTTATATGTAATGTACTTTTATCAAAGTCTAGCTTTGCTCTAGACTTATTAAACTAATCTGTCCCTAATAGTAGAGTCTCTTTCTGTAACTTGATAACTTGTAAATCAATAGGTATTATTATGCCTTGCAAGACTATTTGAACTTCACTAACTATTCCTAAGACTTTAGTCCTATTTCCATTTGCTGTTTTTACTATAGTATTAGAAGGTTTGTCTATTATTAACAAAGTTTTTCTATTAATCAATTAGTAACGATACTGACAGCAGCACCCAAATCTAAGATAGCGACTACTGGATTCTTTTTTATACGCATGTGACAGTGCATTGCTATAGTTTTCTGTTTGTCACTAGCTTGTGAGTAATTAGCCTCTATAGTAGGAGCTTTTGTTCTTTATACTGCTTTAGCTAGATTACGGTGCTGGTTAGGATATTGCAACAACTGATCATATGTGGCACGTGCTTGCATACTTAATAAATCTTCTGCTATATTGTACAATGCAAGTTTCTCTACTACAGAGGGCAATCATTTATTGATAATTCTTTTAGGATAGAGGAGTAGAAGTCTTTTCAATATTCATAAGAACAGTAGTAGAAGATTTGGGTGCAATTTTTCGCAAACATGGTTCTGCCTGTTTTTCTTTTTGTTTTTTTCTATTTGTACTATAGAGCTAATGTCAGGCTATATAGATTTCTTTCTCCAATTCGCTTTCATATACAGTATCGACAAAGTTGATATCACTATTTTGACCCCTATTATTGTTATTATTATTGGGTCTCCTATAATTCTGATGTCACTAATCTCTAAATAGCAATAGTTCCAAACTACAATCCATAGCATAGTGAAAGCAGGTAACACCTAGACTTCTCTGTGAATTTACTCTTTGACGAGGTACTCTAAACTCATGTATATCTGTTAACACAGCTTGCGCAGTAAGTGCTGTAGTGATGGTAGTATAATTAAGGATCATTTGTTCTAACTGCTTAGTGAGTTGTTCAATTTCCTTATCATAATCCTTCGACTTTTCAGGTCGATCAGTATCAATATTTAACACAAAATCAGTACCTTGTTCATAGGTATGAGCAAGTTCAAGAACACCTGCCAAATTATTTGGGTTATACATTAAAATAATAGGAAGCATTTCCGGGCACAAACCCTTCTTAAAATAATATAA